GAAGTTAAACATTGTATTCAACGCTGGCAGATACGAGTGTAATAGTTTCGGACCGAGCGTCTCCTCGTAGCCTTGCAGCGCCAAACTGTACATGGCCTCTGTCTTCGCCAGCTTGAAAAGAAAAACGTGATTCTCACTCTTCCTCTTCCTCTCACTGGGCGTTTGATTGTGTAGTAGATTGTACCCCCGAGCCCCAACACGAAATACACATGTCTATTCTGTTTCCATCCCCATGACAATCCGTACAGGTTACCTCTGTTGCATGACGTCCAGTGCCACTGCAAGTGTAACATTCCCGCCACTCTTTCAATTCAGGGGCCCAAAATTTCCCCTCGCCCTCACAAGCGTCACAATAACTATTTGTGAGAGTGCCCCAGCCCCTGCATGGAAAGCAAGTTCTTAACTGTCTGCCTGTCCCGTTACAATTGTCACACAGTGGGCGATCCGACATGTCTGAAAACGTGGCTTAAGAGTGCAGTTGTAGGAATAAGTAAGATGTAAGGGTTGTAAGTTAGTTATCAAGTTAAAAGGCGGAGAGCACTATGAGCTCCTTCTATAAGTCTTGAAGTGCATGCTAAAAAAATAGATAATACCCATCTCAACGTGGATGTGTTTAATAGGTTCTTAGTCGAGGCGAGCAATAGCTTAAACGTGTCGCCGCTGCATTGGCTGCAGTATTATTACTAATAATCCAAGCTACGTCACGATACCATTCGCAGCGTCGATCCCAGTCTGCCCCTTCTCCTCCCAAGTCGAATAACGTGTCGAGACAGGCGGCCTCACTGGTCGAGGAAGTCTTCGATCAGTCGCGATTTCATGTTCTGCTACAACGATCTCGCTCAACACAACATCTTTGTTAAACTAGAAACGTTCAAAATTACTGCAATTATGAACTGGGAATTTGCGGGATACTTCTCTAAAGAGTTTGAGTATCCTGTTTGGCGACATCCCTACAACAGGCAGATAAAAGATGACTTGGACATTGACAGCCTGATAGAGTTTCTAGACTGGTAAGACAGTCCAATCTGCAATTGCCCGATGCTAACGATATTGGGAGGCAAGTCTCCCTAAGGGCCCATCGATCTCCAAGCAGGTAGGTCCTGAGCTATCGCCATCAAACCCTCTCCTCCGGACTTGACGCCTCCTGACGAGCCTCCTCCTAAGCGACGCCTCCTCCCTGACCGCAGAGCCGACCTCGATAGAAGAGAGTAGATAGATTATGCGGCGCAGAAGGCGTTCTTGGTATTGCCGCGAGCGTGCGGTAAAGGATACATCCGTAGCAGTAGTGCCGTCCACATTGTAGCTATTTTGGCAGTAATGGTGAACCCATCATTCATATACTTCGTCGCGTCCCAACAAACCTACCACACAGTATGCCAGCCTTCGACATGCCCCTGCCGGAGTGTGGGAGGCCATGCGTTCTTCAGAGTCGCAATCGTTTGGTGTGACCGGCTATGACGCGCCTGTATCCAGTCCGGCTGCACTGGCCACTGCCGACGTGGCCACTTAGTGGGCTGAAGTTATTGCTTTGGTCCAAGTCAAGGGGATGGATCAGGCTAGGGTCGCGGCGTGCGGCCGCTCTACTAGCTTACGATTTCCGTCGCAGGGCCTGGGCACATTTTCTGTCTTTTGTTCGATGGCTTCATGTTCTACAAATACATACTTATCAGAGTCATTAGTCATCTCGCCCGTCCGAATCGCAATCCTTTCTCCGTTCCTCCGTCCTACGGACGATTTCACGCAAGTACCCCAGAGGAATTTCGCCAAGTACCTTGTCCCAGCCTCGTGTCCCCAATGCGGGCATTCGCCTGCTCGGACTTGCAGCGCTGTAATTGGCCAGCCCTACGCATCTGTGAAGAAGGTATCTTGTCTGCATGGGGGAACGTTGGGGATTTAGAAACTTAAATCCGACGACAAGAGAGTCCAAGGAAAGAGTTGGACAGCGTAGTAGAGCGTGTATAAAGCCGGGTCAAAATCCGTAGAGATTCTTTTTGACAGTCAAGCACAAATACATGTAATATCAACATCGAGTACGAGCAAATCCTACCTTTGTTCAATCCTAACCTACAAATCTCCGTTTCCATTAATATCATTACCGCAACCACTCCCGAAAATGCGCCCTTCCTACGACCCCGCCACCTCCATCCCCTCCCTCGAAGGAAAAGTCATCCTCATAACCGGAGGCAACATCGGGCTAGGAAAAGCCGCCGCCCTCGCCCTCTCCATCCACAACCCGGCACAGCTCTGGATCACCGCACGTAATCCAACCACTGGCGCAGCCGCAGTTACCGAGATTCGTGCAGCCGCCCCTAAAACCGTATCGGTGAATCTTCTAGAACTAGATTTGACATCCTTCGCCTCGATCAAAGCCGCGGCGCAGAAGTTCACCGCACAAGTGGTCAGGCTCGACATTCTGATGCTGAACGCGGGGATCATGGGCGGCGAGGCGGCGGTTACCAAAGACGGATATGAGAGGCAGTTTGGCACCAATCACGTCGGACATGCGTTGCTGCTCAAGCTTCTCACGCCGCTGCTAGTAAACGCCTCCGCGCATCCCACCGGCGTCGAGCCCCGTGTCGTTTTCGTCTCCTCAGCTGCGCACAAATACACCGTACCTCCCGGCGGCATCGACCTCAGCACCATGCACACGCCGCAGAGCCAGTACTCCGGGATCCAGAAGTATGATCAGAGCAAGCTGGCCAATGCGCTGTACCCTATCGCTCTAACCACCAAGTTCAAACAGTTTACCACTGTGTCTGTGCACCCGGGGGCCGTCGGGACGGGGCTCTTTACAACGGGGGCGAAGGGGGGCGGGTGGATGGTGAAGCTGTTGGCGCGGTTGGAACCTTGGATTTCGGTGAGTGCGGAGGAAGGCGCCAAGAATCAGCTTTGGGCGAGTACGGCGGAGGGCGTCGAGGGCGGGAGGTATTATGAGCCCGTAGGGTTGTCAGGGAAGGAGGGAAAGTATCTTAAGGATGAAGCGTTGATAAAGAGACTGTGGGACTGGACGGAGAAGGAGTTGCAGGGCCATAGTATCTGATTTCGAGGGATTTTCTCGTACGTGGGCCATTTCGTTCGTCGGCGTGGGTTCGTGGTGTCGAGGTTGTAATGCTAAAGTATTGTTGAAGGCTCAACACGCCGTTTGAAAATCACTGGTCTGTCCTTCGTGCTCTCCTCCGAGCCATCGACCCAACACCGAAACCTTGCATCGTATTGCCTGCGTAAAATTTGCCAGCTCCCATCCAGGCACTTTCTCGTAATAATCAGTTTGAACTGTTCCCTGTCGGCCTCCGGCAGCAGCACGTCGACATCACATACTCTATATTCTTCGGGCAACACCGGTAATGCCAGTAAATCTTTCTGCTCGAGCATCTCGAAGGGCGAATAGAAGTCATCGATAGCCTCAAAGCCTTGATAGAACACCCCCTCCTCGACTCTTACAACCTCCCGAACCAAACTCACGGTAAGCGATGCGTCCCACACACCCTCCTTATGCAACGCGTAGCTAAGTAGCTTAATGGCCTGCATCCTGACGCGGTGATGCCGGCACTTCAATGCCGTGAAGAAAAGCGGTGGAATCCAGCCTAGATCCGTAATCGAGGTTGACATTTCGGATTCGTCGGGGAACTTGTGGAGACGGTGGGCCGCAGTAACCAGTCTGTTGATGTCAATGGCTTGGTTAATAATGGAAAGAAAGGAGGAGGTGTGCGCGTCGAATATGGCCTCGTCGTGTGGAATATGGATTACAGCGACCATGATTTCGGCTGCAGCATGATAAATGCCTAGAAGTCGGTAGGCGAGAGTATCGAGAGGCCGACGCTGTGTCGGTGGAATGTCGGCCGAGAGCTTGCACTTCTTGAGCCAGGCCGCTAGGTCTGCTTGCAGGGAGCGTTGTTTCTCACTCAATTCGTTGGGCGGATCGGCATCGTCGTAATCTGCGTACCGATCTTTCAAGTAAATGATATCGTCTACCAACCGCTCCAAATGTCGCCGTGCCTGACCAGCGTTCTGGAACAGGCGATTTTGGTCCGATGTCGTAGGATCTTGCAACACGAAGCGTAGGTTTCTCGCGTGCTTTCCAAAGAAGTCGTCCTGCGCTTGGAGTCTAGCATACGAGTCGATGATCCAGTCGTCGAGGGACTCAGGATTTGGACTTAGCACTACCATGGCTCGACCATTTGCTTCGACTTCCCGGAGAAGCTTGAGACCGTTCCAGAGGTGCGTTTGGCCAGCCTTGTAGTGACCACGGAAGTATTCTAAAGTAATGAAGACCAGGCACGTGACCAGCGCGACTCGCGCAGACGTTCTACTCTGGGAAGAGAGATGAGGCCTGAGACGTGTGATTGCTTTACTGTAATGGTGCAGCATAAACTGCTCCTGTGGGTCCGGAGGCACGTCTACTCTCTCTAAGCCCGAGTGCAGCACGCTTCTTTTATGCGCAGAGCTCAGAGCTAAGACAGCATGCAGGATCGCCGGCTCACTCGAGCTTGCTTGGAGCAAGAAAACCTCCCAAAAATCCGAGGGGAAGGCGCCCGGCAGTTTGGAAACGGTACGACACTTGAACCATTCTAGATACACTTGCTCTTCTTTGATTTTTGTTCCGCTGAGAATCGAAACAGGCGAGGTGTTGACAAGCTGCGACTCAAGCTTGCAGGTTATCGGGCCAGCAGTTGTGGAACAAGGACCTTGGCGGAAACCGCCCCCGCCCCATATCCCGTAGCCATCGCATACCCGGCCGGTAGACACGCATTTGTGGCACGCAGGCCGTTCTTCTCCACACTTGACTTTTCGTGTCCTGTTCCAGTGTTAGACAAGTCGATGTTGACGAAGTGAGTAACTCACTTGCAGGTGCGGCATCCCGTCCTCACCTTGGCCCTGCGCGCTTGGGAAATTGTCCGAGACTTTTTAGACTGAGTCTTCTCATTCATGGGCATTGCGGCTGTTGTTGTATTGTAGAAAAGGTGGAACATGGGACGAGGTGCAGTTTCTAGGCAAGACGTCGCCCATTTGCTAGTTCGGGTTGTCTGCGGTTTTATTGGTTGAAAGGTGTTGTTGGTTGATTGGCTATGTCGGACTTCCTGCACGCTGATTTGCTGGATTGTCATTTAGTGGGTCTCAATGCAGGGAAGGCTAATCAGGAGGAAAATGCCGTTCGGACGAGACTTGGACTAAAATGTTTCTATTTCTAGCTATGGAAGGCAAGATAAAAACCTTCGAGCTATAGAAATTGGAAAAGAAATAGAAAAGGAGGTGTATAGGTCTGCATGAGGCAGCGACACCTTGAGTGGGTATCATAAAAACGCAGTTGAATACAGAAAGAGAAAAAGAAAGCAAAAACGAAAGGAAAAACAAAAACAAAAACAAAACGCCAGAAAACGCCAGAAAACAAAACTTTTCAGCGGAAGCTCTGCTGGCTCAGACGCCTCTCGCCGACCACCCTCACGGGTTCAAGAGCATGACCACCTGCTCCACCTCCCCCCTCAGCTCCTTGAACCTCTGGTCCTGCTTGGCCTTGACCACCCGCTTCATCGCAGCCAGCAACTCCACTACCCGGCGACCAAACTTGCCAGCCTCGCCATCGTCAAACGTAATTGCGGGGTTCTTCTGGATTCGCTCCAGAGGAACCTGCAGCATTACGCTGATCTGGTCGCACAGCTTGCTCTGCAAGCCACTCTTCGCCTTGGCCTGCTGCTCGACGTCCTTCACGAACGAGTCGAGCATGCCGACGTCTGCATCCATCTTCTGGATCAGACTGGTCTTGTCGTCGTCGGCAGTGGCCGTGGCGGAGAGGGCTGCAGAGGGCTTGGTCTCCGGGAGGGGGCTGCTGGGCCTTTCCTGCTGGAAGGCGGGGGCGGGCTTGGAGGCGACGAGAGGTGGGCTCTCCAACCCAGCGAGGACGTTGGCGGACGGGGCTGTGGGCGCCTGGGGAGCGGCAACGGCAGCGAAGACCGCGCTCGGAGCCTGCTGGACCCTGGCGGACGCCCAGGGAGCCGCCGTCGCCATTGTCACTGGCGCAGCAGAAGACGGCGCCATCCAGCCCTGAAAGGCGGCAGCCATGGGCCTCAGACAAGCCTCAAGCCCCTCGCGGAAGTTGATGATATCCGGCGTTGGGGCGTTGAGGCCGTTGAGAGTGATGAGCAGCTGCTCCATCATCTCAAGCGGCCAGCCGAGGAGACCAACCTCGGCTTGCTCAATCTGAGAAGCCATGCCGTTGAGAATGGCATGGCATGGAACCCACAGGCCCTCGACTGCCTCCTTGGCCAGAAGGATGACTGCGTCCTCGTCACCCTCCGCAAACGCATTGCCCACCATGCGCAGGAGGGTTTGGATGACGGGTCCGGCAGAAGAGAGCTGCTGGATGGCTTCGAGGCGTTGTTGGCCAAGAGCCTCTTGACGCTGAGCCTCTGCTTGCGCCAGGGCTTGCTCCTGGTCGAACTGGGCCCTCCGCTGGGCGCGGGCGATGTCTTGTTGCTTGTCGACCCACTTGAAGATGAGTTGGTTCTTCTCATCGACAGTCATGAAGTCGAAGGCAACCTGGTACCGCGGATCTTGGCCTTGATCCAGGGCGGCCTCGAATCGCGCATACATCTGTTGATGTAGTGGCGCAGCGGCAACGCCGTGCCGGGCAATGCCCTGGCAGAGACGTGCCGCGTTCTCCAGTCTCGACTTCCTCATCTTCTCCTCTTCTTGGGAGTCGATAGGGGGAGGGACTGACTGGGTATCGACGACCCGAAGCCCAGAGGATTGGCGCATCTCCTCTCGGAGTTCGCGCTCCTGTCGTGCCTCGCGCGCGAGCTTGTTGTCGATCTCGTCACGGCGACGCTTCTTCTCCTGCCAGGAGACCTCCGGGCGGAAGTGACGATCCAGCTTGCGGGCGATCGGGGAATTGGTGTACGATGCGCTCAAAAACCCATAAGAGGCGTAGGGAATTTTGCGGGGGGCACGGATGTCCTCGAGCCATGCGCGCCGGCTCTGCTCGGGGGTGAGGGGAGCGAAGTGACCGAGCATCTGAACGGCCGAAATGGGCTGCGCTTTCTTTCCGAGGACTGGGTGGATAGTGGAGGGACAAGACGACGTCGGTACGGCACTGGGTTGGGATGCGATGAGCGCAGCAGCAACCTGATCGACGTTCGGGCCCTTGAAGCTGTTGCGAAGGACCTGGACAGTTGCGCAGGCTATGGCGATAGTAAGGTATCCGGCACCTTTGGCCACGCGGTAGGCTGGGCATCTCTCGCAGCGACGTTCTATGGCCTTGCCGACGCGCGAGGTGACTCTCTTTACCATTGAAGGCATGGCGTATGTTGAAAATGGGGATATATACTGGGTATATATCCCGAGGAAGATAGAAGTGAGGAGGTGTAAATGAAGAGAGGAGTCTGCGCCAAATGGCAAAGGGTAATTTCGATTGCTGAGATGAAGGAATCTTCTGGATAGAGCGGAAGTAGTAGATTGAGTGATGAAGCAATTGGCGGTTGAGGGGAAAAAAAAGTCACAGGACGACGAGGGAGCGAATTTGTATAGGTCTCGAGGGCTTGGCACGTTAGTTTAGCGGTTTTGCTTCAATAGCAGGAAGCTATTGTGGGTCATTGGTGGTGAAAGACGCGGATAAGAAGGAGCAAGGCCGAGGAAGCGAGTACTACAGAGGAAATTGAAGAGCGGATATTGTACGACGCTATTGTTATTGTAGCATATTTGCTACAATAGCAAGGAAAGTACTGTGGGTGTTGTAGTTTGTACGAAGCGAGCTTTGGCCGAAGAGTGCGAAGTGGCATTCACCCTCGATAGAACGGAGTCCCTTCTGGCATTCACCTCCTGGCAATACAGCACGCAGGCCACACGCCGCTGCAACCCTCTAACCGCCCAAAATATTCCTCAGCATCACTACTCAGGCTGTTGACATTCTTCCACTCTTGCCATTGACGTGACGAACTCGACCATGGAGTATTCTGTCGACTTAACAAGGACGAAGATTTTCTTCGAGCGAGGATGTAGAACAAATTAGAAAGCGAGATTATTGAGGATGCTACAAACGGTGTGATTGTGGGGAATGAAGTGTTCATCACAGCGTAAAGTCCCATCAATCTAGTGTTGATCCCGGCGAAATTGAGAATGAATTGGTAGATTGATCTACAGTCTTCCTAGACTAGAAGTCTACTAGAGTTCTGGTAAAAAAAAGAAAATATCGGTCAACCAAAGAGTGTACCTCTCTCTCGAGAATGTGTGTATGTTTTAAGGTTTTTTTTGGGGGGGGGGAGGGAAGGGGTGTTTCTTGGGGGTGGAGCACTGAATGATTTCTGGATGCAGTAGTATGGACTCGCGACTAGAAATTGAGAATGTAGCGAGCCCATGTCTTCATTGATAGTAGGAAAATACAATACTTGTCTACAAGTACAAGATGGATGATGAGCAATGCCACCGAAAGTCTCTCGAAGTCCCAAAGGTCACGATGGGCGATGTGGGAATGGGGTTTGACAGCCCTCGGTCGTATGCTCACCATGAAGCATACTTCGGTATCTGTGTTAATGAGATAATACCTGATTTGGGAATTAAGCTGGTAAAGGGCGAGTCTTGCATTCATAGCATCGTAGCATCGTTGCATCGTGGGCCTTGCTGTCTGGGGCTGCGGTCTGGGGTTAAGGAGCGGCGCTGCGCCTTGTCTGAGGAACGTCCTTATCATTTTGGAGTCCGACAGCCACGGTGATATGAGAGTTGATGTCTCGGTGGACGTCGTGGTAACATTCTGGTGACATCTAGATGACCAGGAGGTGGGCGAGGGATGGAGTGCAGTTAGAAGAGTGTGTGTGGCCCGTGCATATTTTGTGCTAAGCTGCATGTGCTTGGCCTCGCAGCTTTCCTTTTCCATGACCAATTGGCGGCTACCGCGGGCATACCGCGGGCACGTACGATTTGCATTCAGTCATTTCAGATTCTAATGTGTATTCAGGAAAGCGTTGTGAGTCAAAGTTGACATATCGACAGGCGTCTACGGCGTATATCTGCATCCTCAAGTATCCGCGAGTATCCCAACGATAAGTGAACTGGGCATAAGACTCAAAAGGAGGCAACACAGGGCGACTATCTGAGTCTTCCAATTCCTCCCTTCAACCGTCATCTTCAACTATACCGCTGGATCTCGAGATGGACCCAAGAGAGTGGCAGCGCACTGCCAACGGCCAAGCATTCCTCGTCTCAACAGCCCAAGACGTCCTCCCCATCGAGTTCGTCCAGGAAGCCTTGGACAACCCAGCCGTATTCTGGGCCAAGTCCAGCTCGGTAGCGAACACGAAGACGATGCTCGACAACTCGTGTACGCTGGGCCTGTTCAAAGTCCAAGACGGGACCCACACCCCCATCGGCATGGCGCGCATGGTCACCGACTACGTTACGCTCGCCTACCTCACCGACGTCTACGTGCTCGAGGAGTACCGGGCGTTCGGGCTGGGCAAGTGGCTCATTAGCTGTTGTCGCGAGATTGTGCAGGATATGCCACATCTCCGGTGGATGCTTCTCATGACGGGGAACGCGCAGGCGGAGCGCTTCTACCAACGAGAGCTGGGCATGGAGGTGATGGGGACGCGTGCCGACGAGCACGTCGTGGCCATGGGCGCGCGCAAGGCGCACATTGAAACGGCGGGCGCCGCGGGAGCATCGCACGCGTCAAGGGCATGAAGGGATCGATGCTTACGGGGGAGACGCGTGCGTGGCGAAGAGAGTGGTGGTGGGCGGCCTTCCATGATGCTGTCATTGTTGGTTTGGGCTAGTGCGGGGCGCGACTAGCGTGGATTCCGCCATTCTTTATCAAGCAGGAGCCAGGCCGGGCCAGGGTGTGGCCGCCGGCACCTCCAGAGGCACCACCGAGCGACGCACACAGCGAGTTCCAGGCGCGTGCTAATGGCCTGCATTCACTCCAAACCACCATGGCTCCAATCTCATTAATATCCTGCGCGCCTCCCCACTCCGCTGCTTCACCTCACCGCTTCGCCCCGTCCGCCTGCCCTCGCTGACCCGCTCCGAACACTCCCGCAGCCCGCCCACACCTCGCGCTGTCCCGCAGTACAAAGCCCCCCTACTGCCGCCCTGCCATCTATCTTAGATTATCTAGTAATCCGGCTGCGTAACATGTACCGCCTCCCAGAATCCTCCGCCAGCTGCTCGCCAGAGTCCTCGCCCCGCATGCTGAAGAGAAAGCGCTCCGGCTCTCTGCCGCTGACCCCTCCTCTGTCGCTGAACGACCCAGACGGCGCCAGGGTCCTCGACCGCGCCGTGAACGTGCTCTCGACCGCTGCCACTGCCCTCTCCCAGGTCACCATCCTGTACCAGAGCGACCATGTTGCACGGGAAGGGCTCCTGCAGGCGGTGGAGCGCATCACACAGGTGAACAGCGCGGGGGGCAAGCTCATACTCTGCGGCGTGGGCAAGAGCGGGCTTGTAGCGAAGAAGTTGGTGGCTACGATGAAGAGCCTGGGCATAGGGAGCTCCTTCTTGCACCCCGCGGAGGCTCTGCATGGGGATCTGGGGGATGTGAGATCGGTATGCATCTTCTGCACGCTGCCTGGTTCTCTGCCGCATGGAAGCTAATGGGCTACTTAGAATGATGCCGTGCTGTTTATCTCCTACTCTGGCAAGACCCCCGAGCTGCTCCACCTCCTCCACCACATCCCAGAATCTACCCCCATCCTGGCCATCACCGCACACACAGATGCATCCAAATGCCCTCTCCTCAGTGGACGGCCGGACGCAGTACTGCTACCAGCCCCCATACATGAGCTTGAGGAGGTGTCGTTTGGAGTATGCGCGCCAACGACGTCAACAACGGTCGCGATTGCGGTCGGAGATATGCTGGCACTCATCGTGGCCGAGGCAATGCACGAGGACGAGACAAAACATGTGTTTCGGAGAAATCACCCTGGCGGGGCTATTGGAGACAAAGCGCGCCGGAAAGAACATGTTGTAGTTGAAGAGAGAATCTGTATCAAGAAATGTAAGGGTCTTGTTTCGCCAGCATGACCCTGGCGCTCTTCTTTATTTTGACGAAATCCTTTACGACTTATGGCAGGAGAGGAATTCCTAGTCACCGCAACTGTTTATATCTGCTTTGCTAGCTTCAAGAAATGTACAAAAATAACTATTAACGATATCTTGCCAACTCGCACGTGCTGTTCGTGGAGGCCTGGATGTAGATCTTTGATGTTTTCCCTCGGAGCTGCGTCCAAGAAGAGGCCGTCGCCTGCGCCTTCCTGAAATCGTGATTAGCCACTCCCTGAACTCTCATGTTTCCCTAAGGCGTCACTCTTCGCAATTCTCAACATTCTCGGTACGACGAGGCAATATATTGATTGAGTGGGCTGTGTCTAGTTCATGTTTGACGATGCTGACCATGTGAACAGTTGGAGTGTGATCTGCGTTTCGCAGCCCTCACCTTCGCCAGCTTGATGCATGCTATGGTGTGGGAGCACATCGGTCTCTTTCGAATAACACTGAAGCACTTGGAGGCACAAGTAGATGCTGTCTCACCCAAGTCATATTATCGTGGCGTTGCAATTGGCGTGGCCACTTCCACATAACAACGCAGAGCACTCTGTACCATCCGAGACGTCGTACCGTGTGTGTCGGGCGGATGGAGAGATGTCAATGAGACAGATGGCCTCTCTATGGTGTGGAAACCTGATTCTTGGATTTCTAGACCCCTTCTTTGCACCTCCCCACCATTTTCGAGAGGCCTTCCTACAGATACAGAGACTCTTTATGACTTTTCGATTGATTCATACCATTATTCAACAACACCGCTGCACCAAAGAAGAATAGGTGGGGTGCCGCATGGGACACGTAATCGACCATGGATCCGCTGTCTACAATCAGCCTGGTCGCTTCTATTGTCCAGTTTGTCGACTTTAGCGCCAAGATTATGTCGGGCGCAAAAGAAATATACGAGTCCGCTTCAGGCTTAACACAGGACGATGAAATTCTCCAAAATACCGTAAATGAGATGAAGAGGTTCTCATCGAGGCTTACACCCTCCACAAATAGACCGCAAACCGATGACGAGCTCGAATTTCATGGCCTGGTTACCGAATGCCGGACTTTGTCAAACGCAATCCTTGAATTACTCCAGAAATCAACCCCCCGAGACCCGCAATCTAAACGTTCAGTTATTCGGTCGGCTTTGAGACGGTGCTGAAGCGAAAAGGAATAACACAAGCTCGAAAAGCAGCTGGCAAGTTGTCGCTCTCGACTAGAATCACAGCTTACGTTTATAATGAAGTATAGCTCACTCTCCTATCTCATTTATTTAACTCTAACGCACGATAGCTCCGACATGAAGACAAGACTGATCAAGGTTGGAGAAAATACGGAAGCTGGCAATGGCATGCTCGAAGTACTTCATAAGCATGTCAAAGAGCTCCGTCAAGGAGTCACGGTCACATCAATTAGCCCAAA